AGAGACGCAGCTGGAGCTGCCGCCTCATCCCGGCCCAGCCTCCCCCAACATCCCTCTCCCCAGCTGGACATCTGGACTCTGGGCCCGCAACGGCAGGGTTCCGGAAACCCTCCCAGCCCAGCTCGGAGGACCAGGGCCCGAGCCGCCATCCCTCCCGAACCCCCCGCCCTTCTCCAGACCAGACTTCCGCCCACCCCTGGACACCCCTTATCTGTCCCCTCCCTCTCCTCCTCCCCCAGCCTGGACCGGGGTAGGAGGGAGGGGGGGTGTGCGCCCTGCGCCATCCCCGGCCCGCCCCCCCGTGATTCCCCCTGCATGGCCGGCCCGGGTGGGGGGCGCGGGGGGCCCCGGACGCCATGCGGGGGGGGCACAAGGGGGGTCGCTGTGCCTGTCCCCATGTGATCCGAAAAGTGCTGGCAAAATGCGGCTGCTGCTTCTCGCGGGGGGGACGTGGTGAGTGCGAGGTCGGAGGGGCCCAGTGTTGAGTTGGGGCGTGGGCTGGGGGTTCAGGTTGGCCCTGGCCCTGGGGATTGAAGGGTTAGCGATTGTGCGGGCGTTTTCCAGGAAAGTGACTTCATAGACGGTCTCTTAGGGTTCCTTTGCCATCAAATTTCTACCCGTTCAAGTTCAGAAAATAGGGGTAGGGGGCTCTTTTTTTTTTTTACCAGCGTCAACTGGCTATGAGAAAAACCCATTCCCCAACCTCCTTGGGCCTGGAACTGGTATCTTCCCCACAAACCCTTTTGCCAACTTCGGATCTGAAGGGGGGATGGAAGAATGAGGGATAAGGGGTTGTGAGGGGGAGGGGGCTTTATAATGAGGGAGTCGCAGCTCCTCTGCACCAGAGTTCTCGCCAGAGAAGACCCCATGAGCTGCCCCCACTGGGCCCCTTGCTGGGTTTGTGCCTGCCTGGGGAGGTGGGCCGCCCTTTCTTTTTATAGTGATTACTGCAAGTGGTGGAGGAGGGGTCTGGGGCTGCCAGATGGACTCAGCTCTTTTTCCTGCCTGCCCCACCCCCTTTCCCAGAGAATGGTCTGTACTCACTGGAAGGGGGTGGGTTGTGTGAGAGCAGATGGCCACCCCAGTGTCTGCCCAGATGGCTGCCCCCACCCACATATTTATGCCGTGATCCGGCTGTGGGGGAACCTCCACCTGTGCTTGGGAGTTCCAGGTGTTTGCTGTTTTCCTCCCTCCTGGAGGATGCTGCCTTGGGTGAAATTCTCTATCCTGACCAGCTCGCCGCCCAAGGAATAGCAGATAGTGAACCCTTGGGCAGAAGGACGGGGAGCAGGAGGAGACCCTGGGAACTCCCTGGGGACGCAGAGCTTGGAGGTGGAGCCCAGTTGGCATCTACCACCCCTCCCTTCTCCCTCCCACCAGAGTCATATTCCATTGCTGGCAGTGAAGGGAGCGTCTCTGCTTCTGCTGCTTCGGGTCTGGCTGCCCCCTCCGGCCCCAGCTCTGGCCTCAGCTCTGGCCCCTGCTCCCCGGGGCCCCCAGGGCCAGTCAGTGGCCTGAGGAGATGGTTGGATCACTCCAAACATTGTCTCAGTGTGGAAAGTGAGACCCATGGTGGCCAGCCAGGATCATATGAGGTGAGCAGGGAGGGCAGCAAAAATACATCAACAAGAGAGGGCCACTGAGGGAGAGGGCACACTGTGTCCCCAGGTCTCGGGGGAGACTCAGCTGCTGTCCTTGACCTCTGGTCCCCAGAACTGGATCCTGGAGCCAGCTCTGGCCACAGGAGAAGAACTGCCAGAGCTCACCCTGCTGACCACATTGTTGGAGAGCTCTGAAGATCAGGCGCAGGTATAGAGAGAAGGGTCCAAGAAGTTCCCTCACCCAAGAGCCATGCCTGTGCTTACGAAAGGACAACGAAGCTCTTTCCTTCCAGCCAGCTGAGGAGGACACTGCTTCCCAAGCACCTGAGAGTGAGGAGGAGCAGAAGAAGCAAGCTCTGGAAAGGAGCAGGTAAGCTCCCGCTGGCTCACTGGGCCTTTCCCGGAAGTCTCCTCACATTTTAAACTTGGCCCTGAGGTCGGCTCCATGGTGGTGAAGGGTGAAGAGAGGTTTTGACTCAAGGTAGGGTGAACTGCCCAAACCGAGGAGGATGGGCTCAGGACCTCAAGTAGGGGCGCTCCTGTTCCTGCCCTAGGTATGTCCTGAGTGAACTAGTCGAGACAGAGAAGATGTACGTGGAGAATTTGGGGCAGATTGTGGAGGTAGCCTCCTTTACCCTTCCCCAGCCTCACCCACCTGCGCTTCCCCCATACCCAGGAAATGCCTTGGCATGCTTCTGTTCCATCCACCCAGTCACCCCACCCCATGCCACCTCACCGCTGCCTGCCTGCCCGCCCACCCCAGGAGCGAGCTCCTCTCCCACCCTTCCCGCAGGGTTACATGGCCACCATGGCTGCCCAGGGCATCCCGGACAGCCTTCGAGGCCGCGACAGGATTGTGTTTGGCAACATCCAGCAAATCTACGAGTGGCACCGAGAGTGAGTAGTGGGACCCTGGGTGTGAAGGGCTAGGGAGGGATTCACATCTGTACCCCAGCGTGGCCTAAGGGGGAGCCTCGTGCAGTGCAGAAGAATGAACATTTGGAGGGGCTTGGTCCGGAGCACACCTAGTGCAGAAGGCTTGAAATTGGGGAGGTGGGAGGTGCGAGCTCCGCTGCTGCTGGCTCTGATCTGAAATGGCTTTGACCATCCCTTCCGCTGGCAACCCCTCCAGCTATTTTCTGCAGGAGCTACAGAGGTGCTTGAAGGATCCTGATTGGCTGGCTCAGCTCTTCATCAAACACGTGAGCCTCAAGAGGGTGGGACTTAGCAGGGCCGGGGTTGGGAGTGGAAGGGGCTCCCCGAAGCTGTGCCCTCTCTCCTTGCCCCTCCTTGCTCTCTCACCCTTGACCTTTGCCTTCCTAAGGAGCGCCGGTTGCATATGTATGTGGTGTACTGCCAGAATAAGCCCAAGTCGGAGCATGTGGTGTCAGAGTTCGGGGACAGCTACTTTGAGGTCCGTGCCTTAGGTTTCTGGAGAAGGGGAGGAGAATGGATGCCAGCAGGTGTGGTTCCAGGCTGCAAACCCACACTGTCCCTGTCCCCAGGAGCTTCGGCAGCAGCTGGGGCACCGCCTGCAGCTCAGTGACCTTCTCATCAAGCCTGTGCAGCGGATCATGAAATACCAGCTTTTGCTCAAGGTTGGGCCACCATCTCCCTGGGTGGCACAGGTGGCTTGGGACTGCCCTCTCCTGGAGGTTCCCACCTGTGTCCTTGGGGGCTGGGGAGGGAGGGGGTGGTTCCCAAAGCTTCTGAGAATATCCTCATGAACCCCCTGAGCGTTTCTTCACCACATTTTAGGATTTCCTCAAGTATTACAGCAGAGCTGGAATGGAGTGCCAACAGCTGGAGGTGAGTCCCCCTCCCCCCATCCTCCAGGCCACACCATCCACCCCTCGAGGTTCTCCTAGGCCTTTGGGTGGTTTCCAGTGGTGCTGGCTTTTAGGGGAGGCTGGTTGGTGCCAAGATAGGGTTTGAAGAGGCAGCTGGCTGACGGAGGCCTAGACTCTCCCTGAAACAACGCCGTTCTTCTTTCTGCCGACAAAACCAGCGAGCCGTGGAGGTCATGTGCTTTGTGCCCAAGCGCTGCAATGACATGATGACTCTGGGAAGACTACGGGGCTTTGAGGTAGGGGGGTGGGGGGGCGCGGAAATCAGGGGCTCTAATCCCCTCTCTGCCCCAAAGTCTGAGGTCTGTGGGGAATTGGCCGGGGTTGTTCAAGCAGCAGGGGTGGGAGGAGCAGAGCAACCCCCTTCTTCCCGCCACGCTCTTTCTGCTCCTCCTTGAAGACCACTGTCTCTTGGTTCTAGGGCAAACTGACTGCTCAGGGGAAGCTCCTGGGCCAGGACACATTCTGGGTAACAGAGCCAGAGGCAGCGGGGCTGCTCTCCTCCCGGGGCCGAGAGAGGCGCGTCTTCCTTTTTGAGCAAATCGTCATCTTCAGTGAGGCCCTGGGAGGAGGCGTGCGAGGAGGTGCAGCCCAGCCTGCTGGATATGTGTATAAGAACAGCATCAAGGTGGGCAGGAGACCTGGGGAGGGCTGACTGGGACCGGGTCAGGCTTCAGCAAGGATGCCTGGCTCTTGGCTTTGTTGGAGGCAGCAGGAACCAGAGAAGGTGCTGGAGGCTCTCTCCTGTTTGCTAATCCAGGTGAGCTGCCTGGGACTGGAGGGGAACCTCCAGGGTGACCCTTGCCGCTTTGCGCTGACCTCCAGAGGGCCGGAGGGTGGGATCCAGCGCTATGTCCTGCAGGCCACAGACCCTGCAGTCAGCCAGGCCTGGATCAAGCAAGTGGCCCAGATCCTGGAAAGGCAGAGGGACTTTCTCAATGGTGAGACTCAGCTTCCCCTCCCTCATGAACCCCTTCAGCCCTTGGACTCCAAGAAACCCTCACTACCTCATCTTCAAGCCCTGTCCTCTCAGCCTGGCCCCTTCTCCCACCCCCCACCCCCGGGCCCCCAGTCTCACTTGATGGTTACTGGCTTAAGATGTGGTAACTTGAAAAATCACCTAAAGCTAGCTCCAAGCAGTTTACATTGACTGGATGGTTGGAGTGGGGCTGGGATGGGAGGGTGGCAGCAGAGTCCTGAGGGAAGGGACCTGTCTCTGTTCTAACCCTCCTTCCCATCCTTTCTGTCCCAGCATTGCAATCTCCCATCGAATACCAGAGACGAGAGAGTCAGACCAACAGTCTCGGGAGGCTAGGAGGCCTTGGGGTGGGGAGTCCTGGAAGAACCAGGCCTGGGAACCAGGCCCAGGCCAGCACACACACCCCCATCAATGGCTCTCTCCCCTCCCTGCTGCTGTTGCCTGAAGGGGAGGTAGCCAGAGCCCCCTTGCCCCTGGACACACAGGTATGAGGAATGGGATTCTTTGGTTATAGGGGCACAATGAGGAGGGCTGGTCTTGTTCTGGGTTCCCAAGCCCCCCTCCTCTTGTCATTCCTGCCTGCCTGCTGCCACCTGCTTCCCATCTCTTACCTCCCCGCCGCCCCATCCCAGGTTAACCAGGGGGAAAGCCGATGGGCTCAGATCATCTACGCTGTTTGGAAAAAGGGGTGGCTTGGCTGGGGTTGACACTGAAGAGAGGAAGTGGGGGTGGATTTCTACCCTTCTGTGACCCTCTGACTTGAGTTTCTCTTCAGACCTCCAGTGAAGCCCCCCAGGCTCTTCAGGACTCTCCTCCAAGCCCTCCAGCTCCCTCCACCCCTCTCTGCCAGGCCAGACTCGCCAAGCTGGATGAAGATGAGCTGTAACTTGTAACTGGTGAAGGCCATGAGAGTGGGGCTGCCTCTGTGGCAGCCGCCACTCTGTCCCCTAGGGAGCTTCAGGGCACCCCTTTGTGGCACCAGCTGGGTTGTTGCCCTCCCTCCCAGTGTGTCTGGAGGTGGGGCCAGGCCGGGAGCAGCAGTGTCAGCCTGGAGGAAGATACCTGGTACACCCCAAAGGACTTTTTTCTACCCAAGGAACACGGATTTCTCCAGCTCTCATCTTTATGCATGCATCACCGGGCCCCCCCAAAAGAGGAAAAGTGGGTGGACGGGAGGGCTAGGGCAGGGGTCTGATAGGAATGATTGGTTTGGGTTTTGATCTTGTTTTTCTGTTTTCTGAAAATAAAAGTTTTGTTACATCACTGAGGCTGCTGTCTTGGCACAGGGACAGCGGTGGGGTTGTAGTGGTGTTGTTGGGGTCGGGAGCATGGAAAAGGGCCACTTGGCACCAGTCTTGGGAGGTAAGGTCTGGGGCAGGGCATAGGGTACAAGATAAAAGCTGTTGCTGTCTTTGTTTCTCTCAGCTTCCGCACCTCTCAGACCTAACCTGGCGCCAGTGGAAGACTCTAGATCTTTGACATACCTTCCCTTCCCCTTTCCCCAGCCCTTCTTTTCTTCTCCTCCCCCCTAGATTGAGGTCCCACAGACAGGTGCAGTATAGTATGATTTCCAACCGCCCCCCAATACTCCGGCACCAAAGCAGAAAATGCCCAAAGTACCTTGTCTTCAGAGGCTTCCACATTCAGCTGAGGGATGAGGGAAGGTGGAGAGGATCCTGAGGGCCGTGGCCCCTTTGTGGCTCCAGAGCTCCCACCAACGGGCCTTCTTGTTGCTTGACACAAAGCCCCTAGAGTGAGAGCCCAGAGGGCCCGTTGTCTCTCCCCAACTTCTGGGACAGGGAGAACCAAACAGGATGAGATGCAGTGTGTGTCCAGATGCCCTGTCCTGGGCCCTTGAGCATACGTGTGTTTGCAGCGTCCACCCATCCCCTGGGCTTGGTCACGTGCAATGCAGCTTCCTCAGAAGACAATGGACTGCTGAGTGGGAGGGTGATGAGTTGGGCCTCCCTATGGGCTGAGGTCCCTCTGGCCCACAATGAAGGGAGGGATCTCCAGAGTGGGGGGTGGACAGGACGGACATGGGCCCCGATAAGACTTCTGGGGAACAATGGAAGGAATTGAAGAGAGGTAACCGCCCTCACCGCACCCCACCTCCAGGGCTTTGGGGTCAAGGCCTGGGGAATCACAGGGGTGATGGGTAGGGGGTGTGGTGGATTCTACTGTGAATGGAGGAGGAGTTGAGACAAATGGGATTCTAGACCTCAGAATGTTTGTTTTCTTAGGTACCCCAGAGGTAGATGGGGTAGGTGGGTGACCCCACTGTACTTATTTTAACCACAAATTTGTTTCTGAGTGTTAACTTTGTGGATAGCACTTGAATGTATGAAATGCTGCTGCTGCTTTTTGCTCCTAGGAAATAAAATTGAAATTTTCTATCTCTTCAGTATAACCACCCTCCCCCACCTTCGCCATCCTCACCCCTTGTAGAGATCCAAATGGTCCCCAGTGCAGGTCAAAACCATCCGCAGCTCCTCAGGAGAAAGACTGGGCTTTCTACTCCCCGTGAACAGATAGCGGCATAGAAACCCACAGGGGCTGCTAGGAGCCAGCATTGACTTGAAGGCCGTGAGTTTTTGAGTTCAGCAACCCCGACCACCCACCTCCAGGCCCTGAGCTGGGAGCACAGACCCAGTCACTCCCAGGAGAATTGTGGGAGAGGGCACTCTCCCATCATCCCTGCACCAATACATGCATGTTTCCATCTTAGAAACTGCTGGGTCCGACACACTGAGTCCACCACATGTTCTCGGGGTGAGGGGTGCACTATGAGAGTGTGGGTCTGGGGTGGGGAAGGGGACCCAACTGCTCTTTGGCGTGAGCCAGTGCCTGGCTTGGCCCCCAAGTGAAGCCCCTCTAAAAGAGGACGAGTCAAAGGGCTTGGGAGTAGTAGATAGCTGGGGTAGGGTGTTGAGGGGAGGGAGCACTCTAGATGGTTCCTTCTCTCTCCCACCTCCACCCTACAGTAGCCCCAGAGAACCAACCAAGGCCCAGTGTCTGAGGAATAGCCTAGCACAGAAATCCCCTTCCTCCAGCCTGGACTCTGACCCAGGCTGGAGCAGGATTGGGCTTTGCATAGTGGTGGAGGCGGGGCTGGGACCCAGGAGCATAGGGTATTTAAGACTGGGAGGCCTCAGGGCAGCTCTGGGCAGAATGAGTGGGCTCCTGGGTGCCAGTCCCTGCCCAGGCGCAGGAGAGGTCTCCGACCTCAGGTCCTCCCTGGGACCGGGATTCAGGAAACCGCTCACCGAGGCTGGGTTCCGGCAGCTCTTCGGAGACGCAGAGGAGGATCCAGTGCTGCCCACTGAGTCCCGCTGGTCCCCGTGGCTGAGGCTGTGGCGGCGGTGGGCTGGCGCCTGCTCGGGGTCCCAGACTAGGCGCCTGCTGCTGGCGCGGCTGCCCCCGCTGCGGTGGCTTCCTGGTTACCGCTGGCGGGCCTGGCTGCTGGGGGATGCGGTGGCCGGAGTGACCGTGGGCGTCGTGCACGTGCCCCAGGGTGAGCGCCCCCAACACCAGCCTGCTAGGTGCCCCAGGGTGAGCGTCCCCAACAGCAGCCTGGGAGGGGGCGCCCGAGTGGGGAAGCCGAGCGGGCTGGTGGGTTCCTGACACGGAGTGGTCAGGGAGAGGGGCCTGAAGGCGAGTTTGAGCTGAGGTCTCTGGAGCGCACCAGCCCCGACTTCTGCGCCACCCCCTCCTCTGCGCAACCCTGCAAGAAGTCTGGGACAGGCTCCAGTTCAGCTTAGGGAACTGGAGAGGGGACGCCTGCCCCCCAGGACTCGGCTGCCACGGATCTGTGCCCTCGTCCGCCCCACTACCTCCCCCCCTGGACACGCCGGTTAACCCCTCCCTTCCCTCCAGTGGCAGGTTTCCCATCTCCCATCTTAGCTTCTATGTGTGGGGGCAGGGCCAGGCCTTGAATGCAGAGCTTC